AGACGAGAGCCGAACCGTCGCGGTGGCATCTCCAGCCTTGGCTGACAGCTGAGCTTGCTCGAAAACAGCGCGCGCCTGATCGCGGGCAGGAGGGGGGCCGACGGGCCCGATAAAGCGATCGGCGGGCAACCGATGGGGGCCACTGGAGGACCATCGCCTTCAAGTCGCCAAAACACGGGCGCAACGCAGACCGAACGAGCCAACGCGGCGAGAGATCACCGCCCGAGGCTCGATCGCAATGACAAATCGCACTACTGAGGCCAGGGTTAACCACAACGTAATCAATCATCCCCACCCCTCCCGTGGCAAGACATGCCCCTTCACAGTATGGGAGGACGACCATCCCATCCCTCAATTGGTTCGGATATCCTTGCTCTTGCAAGAGATCAGGCGGGAAGTATATAATCCCCTTGCAATCAACCGCGGCACGCATGATGAGGTGGCCAGCTCTCCAGCGGTGGCCAACACGTGCTGACTGCCCATCGACAGGTCACCCCCCATCGATCAAGTAGATACAGGTGACTGAAAATTCTTCGCCACCTGGGATACTGACGACTCCGGACACTAATCTGTGGGAGAAACACTCGCGGGCATCCTCGCTGAGGAAATGCAAACCCCAAGCATCGCAACACCGCCCGTGGAACCAGATCCTTGACAAGGGGCAGCAGGGCTCCAGATGGCTCGCCAACCGTTCCGAGAAGCCCAATCACTCCCTCTGTCGACCCCCCCCATCCAGAAGGTGATGTTCTTGCAAACACACGACGTGAGCTGAAGTAAGTGATAGGCATTTTTGTCCCGACCCCCACCCTGCAACGCCGGCCGTTTCAAAACTCAGGGCGAGGGAGGACGAAGAAGGCAGGGGGGAGAAAAGTAAGGAGGGCTAGACAGGGGCCTACGGGGTCACCGCAGGAGGCTTGGGAGCTCCACCAAAAAGACCCCAGGGCTGCAAAATATGACGGGCCCTATCCTTGACGCGGCGCAGACGTCTCCAAAACCCATGGACGGTGGGGGCGGACACGTCAGTTGAAAAGAACAGATCAGAAGGCCCCCCCACCTCCAGCGACGGCCGCGCCACCTTCGGGGGGGGATTGATTGGAATGCTGGGCCTTCTTGCTGAGAATAGCAGCTGCGGTTGCACGGGTGACCTTCTTGGTAGCCTCCTCAGAAGGCGGAGAAGACGACGGCTGACTGCTGGGGCCTCCCCCACAGCTAGCCGCGGCCGCCGAGGTGGTTCCAACACCTGGCTGCGCATCCTCTCCAGACTCGCCCTTCCGACGCTTGCGGGCGAGCCATCCGAGCATGCGGGCGTGCTTCTTCTTGGCCTGCTTGGCGGCCTCGGTGGCGCTGCCGAACAGGTTTTTGATGTAAGCGGTGAGCTGGCTCCGCAGCTCGGCCAACAACCTGGCTGCTTCCTCCTTCGTAGCTGGATCCACTTCGAACTCATCCTCGTCCAGAGTGCCGAGGCTGCCGAGGCTGATGAGTAAGCTCTCCACCTTGCCTGATATAATGTCATCGATGGGGATGGGCACCATAGTTGTCGGAGTCGGAGCCGGCGCCACTTGATGGTGTTGCTGCTTGACTAACTCCGCATGCCCCTGCTCAGCCTTGTCGAACTCTCCAAACAACTTTGCGACCATGTCGTGCTGGGCATCCGACTGCACGTTCGAATCTTCCTTCGAGGTCGCGCACTTTCCGAAAGGCAACTCCGACTCGTTGTTGGATCGGTTGGTCCTTCGGGCCCAGGGCTGCGGCCTTCTTGGACTCGAGCAGGCGGGTATACCCTTGAGCTCCTTCCTTGTCGCCCATGCGAGTGAGCAACGCGATGGTCTGTTCGAGGTCCTCAATCGAAGCTGGTTCATAGACCTTGGACAAAGTACCTCCACCAGGACCCATGAACCGAGGACCATGCCGAGCAGGAAGAGAAGGAGTACCATCCTGATCTCCCCCTTGCCCAGCCCCGTTGTGAGAATGGAAGCCCCAGTGCGGCCAGCCTGCCTTCCACGACTGCGGTTAGGCTGGCGGTGGCGGTGGGGCTTGCGGCCCGTTCGCCAAAGATCCCCTCGGCCCAGCGGGGCAAGCGGGCGCCACCTGCGGTCGGATAGAATGGCAGGATGCTTGCAATGCCACCACGTAGCCTTGTTGCGGCGGCAGCCACACGCAGAACATGTCCATCGTCCCAATGGTTTCCCGCCTGCATCTCCTTGCCCCATGGACTAAGGCGAGGACAAAATTCCCTGTTTTGACCTCTCCGAGGCCCTCAAGCGAGCACAGACTGACTGGTACAGCACAGGGTCCTGACTCAATAAGCTTGGGCAAAAGCGCTTGAGCGAGGGAGGAGGGAGGGAATAGGAGGAGGAGGAGAAGGAGGAGCGATGAGTAATGAAGAGGAGAACCAGGCTGTTGAGAAGAAGGCTGTGATCAAAACCCACTACAATTCGGCGCTCTGTCTGAACTTGAGCGAATACCAAACTAAACCTCCCTCCTGCTGCGCTGCTGCGCTGGCGCCGTGGCATCGATGATATCAATAAACTGATCGTGAACCTCGATGTGTTTTCTTGCGGATGGAGGCGCATACAGTCCCGCGCCAGTTCAGAGTTTGGCATGAGAGGGCGAAAGAGGAACAAGGATAAAGGATGGTGAGAAGGATGCCCCAGATCGATGGATGAAAGGAGAGAAGGTGGTGAGGTTCAACAAATAGGGATGAGAGGGATGAGAGGGATGCCCCGGACGGAGGGATGAAGGGGAGAGGGATGATGAGAAGGATGCCCGGACCGAGGGATGAAGGGAAGAAGGATGATGAGAAGGATGCCCCAGACCGAGGGATGAAGGGGAGAAGGTGGAGTTCAACCCTCGCGAAAGCCTGGACTGCCGAAAGTGGGGGGGGTCGCGCACCGCGGGAGCCACGCCGTCCGGGAATGAACGGGGAAAGGACGTGGAGTTTCGGGCCCGCCGCGCCAGTTCAGAGTTTAGAAGCGGGGGGGGGAAGATGTAGGGGAACGAACAATGCCATAAACATACAAACTCGGAGGTCCAAGTTGTTATTCCCTACCTAGGCTCTGCCTAGAGGGTTCTTACTTGGTTTGCTTGCCGGGCAGTGTAGGCCGCCCCGGGCGGTTCCCCCAGTCCCCACCCCGCGGTTCCCCAAGTTGCGCCCCCTAGCTTCAGCTGTAGATTTAGCTTCAGCTTTAGCTTTAGCTTTAACTTTAACTTTAGCTTAAGCGTTAGTTTTAGCTTTAGTTGTAGCGTTAGTTGTAGCTTAGTTTTAGCTTAGCTGTAGCTTAGCTTTAGCTTAGCTTTAGCTTAGCTTTAGTTTAGCTTTAGCTTAGCTGTAGCTTAGGTTTAGCTTAGCTTTAGCGTAGTGTTAGCTTAAAATTAGCTTCGATTTAGCTTAGCGTTAGCTTAGTTTTAGCTTAGCTGTAGCTTAGCTTTAGCTTAGCTGTAGCTTAGAGTTAGCTTAGCTTTAGCTTAGCTTTAGCTTAGTTTTAGCTTAGTTTTAAGTTAGCTTTAGCTTAGCTTTAGCTTAGCTTTACCATTACTACTAATGCTGCTTTCCTAGGGGCTCAAACTCCTAGGTAGGGTCGCACTGGGATAATGGTTATGTTCTGTTTCGCTCCCCTAAGATGAGCAATGCGAGAAAGGATTATGAAAATGAGGCTGACGGCAGA